CGGTTGGTACGATAGGAGAGTACTGACGCAAGTGGTGCAGCTGGTCCAGCAGCTCCGCCAGAAGGGCTGGTTTGCTCACCCCAGGACTAAGCCTTGGAGAGGGGACGGACCCGTCCTCTCTTTAAGGCTTAGTTCTGAGGTAAGCACCAAATTGTGGCGGTTCTAAGGACCGAGTTGAAGTGGTCCGTCCACCGTCGGGGACTCCATCCCCTCCCCAACATTCAGCATACGGTCCCAGCCGAAGCGCCAAAAGGGCTGGTTTGCTTACGTCTAACACCGGTCTTTCCGATTATTAGCAGTCCTATCTTGAAATACAGCAGCGAAAATTGCCACAAGCTGCGTTTGTGACCCAGATTACCTTTCTATCACAAAGGTTTTCCTTCAATAGATCGTAACGCATGCGCTTAAGCATTACAAAAAAATTAAAAAAAAAAGAATTATTCGGACAGCAACGCGAGAAACCGATTTTGTGATCAGTAATTCTCATAATTGACCGGATCCTTTAAAGTGAGAGAATTATTTTTTCAGATTGATCGAGAACGAGAAGAAAGTCCGCTAAGCAATTCCAGAAGCCTCTTCGAAATAGTTGAACGACTCCAGAAGCCGACTACAACCACAACCCCGCAACCTCCACTTCTTGAGAGACTTCTGCGACCATACATTGAACCATGGCAGAAGCAACTTGATGAATTGTCAAAAGAAATGACAGGGATTACAATCATTCCTACAAGTTCTACTACCAGCACCACCCCTCCAACAACGACCTCAGCCCCCCAAAATATAATCGAGAAATCACTTCGCATGTTTTTCCCTTATTTTGATAAGGAGAAACAAAAAACATTAACCACCGCTTCGCCGAAACTTTTTGATGCTAGCATGTTTGAAAAATTGTTCTTCTCGCGTTCCAAACGAGACACGCGAATAAAAAGGCAAGCTTTGCCTCCTCTTCCACCACCTACTCTCGAATTTCTCAACCCTTTGCGAGAGCTAGAGAAGCCAATACTTGAGTTAGCCAATCCGTTCACTCCAAACCCACTGATGGCTCTTTTCACTACAAAACCTCTACCAGAGCTACCCCCAGTAGAAAAGCCCAAGTTGCACGACATGCCTCTTCCTCAAAATTTCCTTCCAGAACCCCAATTCAAACTTCAGGACCCATTCTACAATCCGCTCTTTCCAAACCGTAAAAGCAAATTTTTCGATTTGTTAGCTGGCGGTGAAGCTACACGAATTTTGGGATGATCCGCTTTAATGTTCTTTGATCGAACCGGTATCCCATACCCAGATGCACTGCAATTGCAGAACCTAACGTGACATCGATTCAAGGGCATCTTTCAGCACGTGATATCGTATTTTTATCGAGAATTTCCGTACGCCACGTTGTGCACCTCGTTGTGAGAAACAGTGTACATGCTTTACCGGTTAACGGAGAATTCCGACAAACTTTCAAACTTCCCTGCATTTCCAAATTTGTACACATTTTTCGAAATGATAATAATGAGTAATAATAAATATTGATCTGTATCAGTGGCTGTCCCAAGTACAAATGAGAAATTGATTACAATGTAGAAGAACATACCTACTACTGGCGACTCTAAGTCGTAGTGACAGAATTTTTGTAAGATTGACTTGGAGATTTCCTAGATTCTCAATACTTTCAAGAAGCAGCCGTCGAAAAATTATGTAAAGGCATCCAAGTGCTACGCAAGCTAGTAAAAAGCATGCACAGCCCAAGGGTTGGTTGCCATAGCTTGCTACGATTCTTGCCGTTAGCCAATAGACAGAATGAATCATAAAGAGAAAGCTGTAAAAGATAACCTACTAAAGATCACGAGAACAAGTATCAAAAATTCATCTTTCATAGAAATACCTCAAATACACTGAAACCCTTTTCCTGATCAGCTGAGATCACCCAATTTGGCAGTACTTTGTGAACACTTTGTGGACTTCTTAGTCAACCATTTTCCGCAACCTATTTTTGACTGGGAATTCTTAGAGGAACGACATCTCCTCTTTCATGACTGTTTTAAATAAAGTAAGACGGAAATGAAAACAAACCTCATCACGATAGCGGCGTGCAAGCTTTCGCGTGGCCTCGAATTTAGTACAGGTATCACTGTGTTTTGCCATCCATTCTTTCACGCGGGCTCTGTATAAGCAGAATTCCAGAACATGCCATCATCAGCAATATGACTATATCATCAAAGTGAAATAATGAACGGATGCGTACTCTGCAGCCATTTTGAGCTTTTCAGCTTCTACAGCTTGGGTGTTGGCCTTGTTTAGTCTGCTTCAACACGCGAAAGTTTAGAACGGCACTGATCCAACTCGGCCCTTCAAATCACATTTTGTGCTAAGCAGTGCGAAATGCAGTGAATAACAAAAAAAATGTACTTGATTTCTTGATCGCCTTTGAGAGCAGCCTCTGCGCATCGTTGTCTAGAAGATCGGCTTCTTTCTTACGATGCAGCCAATTCAGATGACAACATGGTGATTTTAGAGGAGGCTTCATTAGAAGAAGCCACTAATCCTTCCAGCTTTGTTTCCAATTCCCTCTTCTGAAATTTGAGAAAATGGGTTAACAAAACATGGGTAAACCTATCTAATATATCGACAGAGACAAACACAGCATCTAACACTTACATGCCTACCTCAAACAAGAGTTGTCAAATATATTGCGGAGCATGGTTAATAACTTCGTATAGCATACATTATACGAAGTTATACGAGAACAATGATTGTGAAGTTGGGAATATGCTTCAAACCTGTTTGGAAAGCTCAGACGACACCTTGTGCAGTTTCTCATTCTCGTTCCGGAACACAGTGTTCTGACGTTGACCGAGCCATCGCTCCAGTCGCTCAGCCGAAACATGTTCAACAGCCAACTCAACACGATTTTGGTCTAACTTACCAGTTGGCTTTTCTGCAAGCGCGTTAGCATTTGCCATTGCTTCCGATTGTAGAGATTGGACAGTTGCAGCCAGCTCATCACGATTCGAGCGAATTTCTGCCACCTCTGCTCTCAGCCTTTTCACCTCTACTTCAGCAGTCATCGATCTCGATATGGCCTGAAATGGTGTACAATGGAGTGACAGCCGATGCCTCATCGCGTCCAACGCACCTTTTGCTTCTCCTCGCGCAAGAAAGCTACCACACTCTTCATTCGATTCGATCACCGACGTTTCAGCATTCATCGAAATGTCGTTAACGTCTTTCATTTCCACTGACGAGCTCGTTTCGGTCATTTGAGCAACTACCTAAAGTTAGTTTAATTTTCAAGTGTTACGACTTTGAGCCCCCCCCCATTCTGCTCAAATGAGAAGGGAGAGAAGAACAACTCTTACGTTTTCATATTTCTCGAGTAACTGCTCCAACTTCATCTCGTACTCCTTGATGCCTTCATTATATTTCACTTCTGCTGCAGACATTTCTTCAAGGCGTGCCGCCAACGTAGTCTCAGTGGCACGGAGATTCTCCTCTGCCTTTAACACGAGGATAACTTCGTATAGCATACATTATACTTATTTTATAAACTTACCACTCTAACTCTTTCATTGGCATTGAAAAGCTCCATCTCTTTGGATTCCAACCTTGAGTTCTTCTTCATAATTTCTTCATCTCGATCCGCAAGGTATAGATTTCAATTCATCAATGTCACATCTACAAATTACCGCATTAATCAGCAAAAACATGCCTACCTAGTATTTACTGCGTAACAGTAGGTGAATCGGAATGAATCCTTGAAAAAAACTCACCTCGTTACATTCTGAGACTCGCCTCTCTATTTCACCGCGAGCAGAATTCAACGACACGTTCAGTTCAGAAACAGAATTGTCCGCATCTTTGATTTGAGCCTCTAGGATATCTATTTTCAGCTGAAGTTGAGATGACTGCTGAAATGTGAAAAATCGTGCATCGAAATGGTGCTCTCCTAAGAAGGATGCAAATATTAAACTTTCTACGAAAATCACGAAAGAATAGTAACCTGCAGCTGATCCATTTTTATGTCAGACATTTCATTTTCCAACTGAACAAATTTTGTTGACAATTCGCTACTTGCTGTGAGTTCATCGAACGAGTCCTATAAATTTTGAACTAGAATCACCAAGTCTACGTTATGCCACATTCGACAAGCTTACGCTTCTGCGCTCGCCGCCCTGGCTTCGAGACGTTCCCTCTCCATTGACCCCAACTCGGCCATTTGTTTCAAATTCGTTTCCATGACTTTACTATGAGATTCATCCTAAACTTCTAACGTGAGCCATTGCAATGTGATGAGCCTAGTCAATTACAAACTGACCTAGCGTTTTCGTTGCTCTTTTGATAGACAGTCTTTCTGCCTCGGCTAGTTAGATTGTTAGTCATACCATAGACACTCAAGAGATACTGCGAGCGGTTCTTCAACTGCTGACACTCTTTCTGTAGACGCTCAGGCGTCATTCCTGTATCAAATCAATTGAATTTTTGATACCCGAAGCCTGCGACTTCATTTTTATTGTGATGTGAGGTTATCGTACTCGGAAGTCTAATGGAAATTCAGAACTCCCACTCACCTACTGTACTTTCTTGAGCAGTGTACTGTGCTTGTATATTGCTCAGACGTGCTCGCAAATCGATGAGTTGTCTCTCACATAACGCCAATTCTTTCTCCTTCTCTGCAAGCTGTTGCCGCAGCAGAGAGATTTCCTCCTCATATCGGGCCTAAACATGTGATTCCAGATTCGTCAAGCAAAACTGGTCAGGCAGAAAAAAGTACCTGGGCCTGCTTCGCATCATTTCTGGAATTTGAGAGCTGATCAGTGAGACGAGCGTTGGATGTTTTGAGGCTGTCGCGCTCGAGACGGACAACCTAAATGAGCTTTTGCTAAAGAGGGATACAAACACAGAAGGAAAAAAAAGGAAATCACGACGTACATCAAGTTGAGACCCAAGATGAGCCGTTTTCTCAGACTCCACACGGGAAAGCCGAGTTGTCATCTCATTCAAAGACAACATCTGAAAATGAAACACGAATAAATGAAACAAATAAAAGACCGGCGCACAGGAAGAAAATAAACGGAAAACTCTAATGTCCTCGTTTGATTGACTTGCCCTTTCTACTTACTCGGACAGTTTTCTATATGCCTACATTTGTTGACCCCTACCTAAAACGTCTCCAATAATGGTGTTTTCACTAAAAAATTTAAACTTCAAATTTTCTATGGCCCAAATAATTTTCTCTGCTTGGCTATTTCATTTGTATTATACAGCGTAAGAGATAAAAAAAAACGAAGTTAAAAATGAAAAGCCAACCATTTGCTGTTCGCTAAATGAAGTTCTCTTGCGAGCCTCAGCTTCGGTCTCCAATCGATTAATGGTCAAGCGAGCATGTTGCAGCTCCTCAGTGACCGCACGAAGTTCGATCCTTCAACAAGCATGATTTAACGAACTTAGTCTCTCTGGTGATCATATGTAACAGAGTATTACTGATAGGTGTTTGAATTACAATTTGGGGAAAACTTGCGAAACAATCAATCACAAGAATGCTGAGTTGTGGGCAAAACTGATGCTGATAAGCTATGGTAACTTTACCATCAAAAGCTGAGTTGGGTGAAATGGTGCCCCGGTGGTGTAACTGGTAGCACACTTGCCCGGAAAGCAAGAGTGCGGGTTCGAGTCCCGCCTGGGGCGAAAGTTTTGTTCACAACCCAGCATTCTTGTGATAACATTCGCAACGCGAACTGCGGCGCAAAACAGCACTTATCCAACAAAAACAGATCAATCAATCAGTTGATAGGCGTTGCCTAAAACTGACTTGTAATTGCTCGTTTGCGTTTGCAATCCCATCAGTTCCTGATGCAATTGTTCCACTCTGCTAGCCATTTGAGCATCACCTGCTCGTAAACGATCATTTTCTTCACGAATTTGATCGGTTTCCTTTCGCGCACGTTCCAGTTCCTGCACATGATTTCTCAAGAGAATCAACGAAAGGGAATATCAAACCCCACACCTTCTCAACGACTGCCGTTGTTTGCTTCTGCATTTCGAATGAGGCTTCCAGACGAGCATTCGTCATCTTCACTTCTGATACTATCTGTTCACTTCTAGCAACACGATCAGAGTGGACCCTAAATATGTATAAATCATAGATTTCATAGCAATTTGCAATTTTTACCGTGCAGGGTGTATCGCAGTACTTGCCTTTCAGATATTTCCTTCTCTTCCTTGATAGCACGGATATACTCTTCCTAGGCGAGCTACTTTCACCTCACTGGCTTGAGCCTGTAATGAATTCCGATTAATCCACGAAAGAAAACAACAAACCATGAAGCGACATTCAACGAAGCACACGCTACTGCCGTTTCCTTTGTCTATCCATATAAAATCCCACACAATTCTCATGTGAAGAATGTGAAGAAAATATAGTACAAAAAAGCAATAACTTCATTTCCAAACCTTGGCAGCAGCTTCTTCTGCCTTTATTTTTGCGGTCCTAGCCTCAAACGCTAACATTGTCTTCTGCAAGCTTTTTCAGCTGTTCTGTCTGCGATTGAAGCTGAAATTGGATGGGTATGAATTCTACTGTTTGGTACGAATATAAGCGACAGCATACAAGTTCAAATGTGGTGCGCATCTGCTCCAGCTCTCCCTTCAAACTGGACTCCGTTTTGTGTGATGCTTCCAACTCTCGTTTCAGGCCCTCTATTCTGCAAATTACACAATTCACAATTACACAATTC